CCCTTTTTCTAAAAAGGCCCAGACAGTAAATTTTATGCTTTGCAGCCATACAGTTTCTGTTGCAACTACTTAACACGACTGTTTTAGTACAAAAACAGTCACAGATAACATGTAAACAAGTGAGCATGGCTATGTTGCAATAAAACTTTATTTATGGAAAATTTAAATTTTCACATGTCATTAAATATCCTTCTCTTTTTTCAACCATTTAATAATAATAAAAACTGTTTTCAGGTTGTGGGACCTATATGACCAGGCACTGGGGCCACGTTTGGCTCATGGGCCATAGTTTGCCAACCCCTGGTCTGGTCAGGGAGAGAAACCAATGGATACAAACATGCTGGTCACAAAGGAGGTTATACATTCTACGAGACAGGTATAAACAAATACCCAGAGAGGGCAGAGGTGGCAATAATTTATTTTGAAAATGGTTAGGGGAGTGCCTGAAAGCAAACAGGAGCCTGAGCCTTCAGCTAGGCTGGATTGACTCACAACTGCGTTCATTTCCCAAAGTAAGCAGTAGTCTACCATTTCCCTTAAAAATTAAGTATTAAATGAGAGGTGGGAAAAGAAATCAATTTTGAGCAATAATAATAAAGGCTAATGGTGGTTTGGGACTTGGTTGCAGCAGCCTAATTAAAATGATTTATAACTGCACAGAAAGGCTCTTCTGTTTCCCCCTGTTTATTGAATAACAGCTCACATCAGCCGTTAGTCCATATTCAACCCATGGGAAATTACCTAATGGATTCTGTTCAAGGAACATCATCAAACAAACATGTGTCACTTTCCCGGCACCCTTCTTTGTGGTCGCTCAAGATAACTTCCAGGATGGAGCTGAAGGATATTGGCTAATTGTGGTTCTAGACATTTGGTCCCCTATCAGCAATCATGGGAGCCCCTAAGCTTTGGTCTCCATCAAGGTACTTTCCCCTTTAGCCTCCCCAACCCTGACTGAGGCTTCCACAGGCTGCTGGCTAGCATCCAGCACATCAGACTCTACTCCTGCTGACTTCTAGAAGACATCCTAGCCCTGCTGCAGCTGTGGGTAAAGCTCCAGTCCAGGGCAACCCTGAAACCTTAAAGTATTGTGCATTAGAGGTGTGAAGTCTCATTGAGGAAAGAAAGACCATTTTTCTGTAGGGAATTAGTTTGACTACAAGACTCAGGATCATCCTTGAGTTCATTTCTGGCATCCTTAAAATAGGGAAAAGCCAGTGTTTGAACTGTTCCATGGGGTTTCTGAAGGAATCCATCTATTTTGGCCATTGGTGGTGGTAATGTGCAATGACCATGTGTGCTTCACTCACACTCCTCCTGCTGGCACTGTGGCCAGAGTTGACTCCCCTTCCCTCAATCTTAAAATTTGTCAAATTCCATTAAAACTACTTATTTTGTAGAATGTAACCTAAAATGGTCTTGAATTATCCTTGGGTAATCATTTCTATATAAATCTATAGGCCAAAGGCATTTAAAAATGGCAACAGTAAATGGAAGTCTGAAATCTAGAACGTAAGCTTCATAGGGAAGTTGCAAAATACAGTACTTGAGAGCTTGGCCTCTAGAATCAGACCTATCTGTATGTTATGGTAAATTACTTTATCTGTGCTTTAGGTTCCAGAGCCATAAGATAGAGATGATTCTGTGGGGTTTTGCTTAAGACTATTTAATATTTAAGCAAAATCACTTTGTAGAAAGATCTGTTGGTCATTTGTCAGATCAATGGCTTAAACCAGATCTAAAGTAGCCAACAGGAGCAGTTTTGCTATAGCAGCAGACACTCTTGCAAAGTTTGGGGCAGAGATGCAGCCTGAGAGTGTGTGAAACACATTCAGGAGAGCAGTCCACTGCACTCAACACAGCTGGCCTGACCAGCTTGTGACAGAGTGTCCACAGTGAAGTCAAGGAAAAACTCAAACTTGGAAAACATCCTCAATCATTTGATGATTCAGCAAATTGATCACTTAGTGAATTAACCTTTGACGAATTTGTCTACTTTCAATAATAGTACCTTCATAATGGGGTTGCTATGAGAATTTAATGAAATGATGCATGTAAAGCATTTAGCACACTGCCTGGCACAAAGAAAGTAGAAAAGATAAATGTACCCTTCCCGCCTTGGGCCCTGCTCCCCGCTTCCTGGCTGCAATAATTATTAGGGTCTTTTTGCTTTATTAATGCCAGTAATTTAGTAGTAATCTATTCTTGGTTTTATGCAGGCTAAAAAGAAAGCCGCCATCAGTAAGATTTGTAAGAAAAATATCCGAAACCCGAGGATAAATCTGAGAGAAGAAATACCGTGTCCTTTCAATGTCACACTGGCATATTGTCAAAAAAGACCTGCCCAAGGGTTATTTAACTGTCTTAGGCAGGGGTCAGCAAACTTTTTCTGTGTAGGCCCAGATAATAAATATTCCTGGCTTTGCATGTCTCTGCTGCAACTATTCAACTCTGCCATTGCAGCAGGAAAGCAACTACAGACATTATATAAATGAATGGATGTGGCTATGTTCCAGTAAAACTTTATTTCCAAAAATGATAACAAGCCAGATTGGCCCACGGACAATAATTTGCTGACCCCTTGTTTTAGAACACGACTATGTTTAACTTGGTCATTTACTATTTGCTCAAGCCTAGGTACTGTGAAGTTATGTACTAACGTGTAGATTTTTGACTACTAGAGGACATAACCCCAACAGTTATAGTTTTATTGCCCTGTAGGACATAACCAGTTTCGTCTCTAACCTAGCAATCTTATTTTAACATATTTCTAAAATACCTAGAAATATCCATTTCCTTAAATGCTCTTGGAACCATCCTTACTGTCTTCCTGGTTCCTTCATAAATGAATTAAATAAATTTTTGACACATGTTCAGTCTACACTGGTGTGCATAGTGTTTTTTAACTTTTACATATTACATTTCAACAAGCTCATTAATTGAAGTACCATTTACAGCTCTGTTTTAGAATAACAGCTGTCATTGAGTGACGTGCCAGATAGCACATTCAATACCTTAAATGCATTTATCCTTATATTATGCCTGTAAAGTAGGTATTATTATCACCATTTTGCAGATAAGGAAAAGCACATAGAAGTTAAATAGCAGCTATTAATTGATATAACTTACAGTAACGCAGGTTTTTCCTCACTCCACAGCCTAATAGTAAAGCTGAACTGCCTTCCTTGGAAAATAACACCATTGACTTAAGTACAATCCTGTTTAACATGAACTTTCAGTCTTAATTTCCAGATCATAATCCAATTTCCAGGATCTAATCCAGTTTCCTGATATTTACACTCAGACATGTAACCCCTCACGACTAAAATTATGTGTTTTTTTTCTTTTTTTACCTTGACAGGTTTAAAGATATTTATAACTTCCCCGTTAGCTTTATACATGTACTGTCTGTCATGTTTATTACTTTCAGGTGACTTGAAAGATGGTAAAAATAAGACAGACAAGAAGGATCAATCCAATGTCAGAAATGATTCAAAGAAAACAGATGGTAAGGGCATAATTCCCATTATATTTTTCCATAAATTGTGCAATTTAATGCAAGCTTGTTAGATTTACACATAAAGTTGCAATTGTGTGAAATTGTTAGTATAGTCTTATACCCTGAGAAAAACATTCACTACATTTAAAGAGTACTATTATCCCTTTTTCGATAATTTACAGATTGTTGTTGTATCTTTTCCCTTCCACCATACTTTCTCCATCACAAATGAGTTCTGTACTCTTTCATTTCCCACTTGCCGTTTTTCATTTTAAACTTTATGAAAAGTTGATTCTGGGCTTGCTGATTTTAATGGAATGGAATATAAGTCTTTGTGAATTACGCAGCATAAATGGGAAATGTTCCATGTTTTCAGTTTTCAATTTTTTATACCTTTAATGAGTTATTATTTTGGGGAAAAACAAAAACAGAAATCTGTTCAGTGTTATCAGTATGTTGGGAGGCCCACATACTGGAGAATGTGCATAGCTGTAGAATACAGTTTGGTCAGCAAGAGTACGTCTTAAAGGCAAGCTTTGGATGACAATCCCAGACCAGTTGGAATGAACCTACATTGTAATGGGCTTCATGAGCACTGCTTTTACTTTGCATAAATAGCATTCCATTCTTTATAAAATCTGTAAGTTCAAATTATATTGCCCTCCAAACTTTGGACCATCAGATTGAGAAAACTCTCACCTTTTATACAATCCTCCTGTTTCAATTATAACATGGGCTTATTCCTAGTTATCCCCCCATACATATAAGTGATATTAAACTAAAAATGAAAGTTTTAGGAAGTGGTTTTTGTTAGGGTCTCAGACTCTTTGAACCATACCTCCCTGCAGACATTGTATTAGATGCTAAGCTATTCTTTGAGTAGTTTGGTTAGTCAGAGAAGAACAAATGCAGGGTAATCAGGTTGAGGAGTAAGAAGAAATTTGAATACAACTCATACATCTGTTAAAAACAGAGAACTGCCTTTAGTTTTCATCTCTAAGCCATTGTGATACGCTCTCTTTACCCATATGCATGAAATCAGTTCTTTCTTTGAAGATCATTCAAATAATTCACCCCAGGTGTCTTATCACGTAATATCTGGGGAACACACATGTCCAATTTTTTTACCAAATTGTGTATGCAAATGGAAACCACTTGCTTAATACATACCCTCCTTGAATAATTGTGACTAAGACATGAATTACATGGAGATAAAATAGGATTCAGAATGACAGTCTCTTAGCCAGACTCTGTTATGGGTAAGGTTTGCTCAAGTACCAGACATCATTAGACCCAAGTCAAGGTAACACAAGCCAGAATATGTACAGTAGAGGAGAGAGCTGTTAGTTATAAACCCAGCACCTGGGCACCTGACCCATCCTATATCCAGTGACTGACCCATCTGAATTCCTACAGCATAAAAGCCCAGAATAAACCAATTCCCAGATCTTTAACACGGGGTCTTGAATCTTGTTGTATGTTTGTATTGTGCTATAAATAACTGTTGTAATGTATTCGTGTGAGCATTGTAGGTAAAATTTTATCACCTTCATTACGCCCTTTTATTTTACCTGTGTCCTTTTTAACTGAATTATCACCAGTATTTTAAATAATTAAACTGTTTTTTTTTCTGGCGGGGTGAAGTGATGAAATAGATATTTTGTTCTATTGTACAAATAAGCATAAAGCTTGATTATTTAATGAACAGGATTCTTGATCCCATAGGGCAGTGAACAAGATGCAGTAAATAAAGAAGGGACATTTTCTGATGTCTATCCTTTTTCCCTCCATAACTCCAACCTTCCACTGATTCAAACTGAGTCTGGTGTGTCCATATACTTGTAAGTCTGGGCATGAAAAACTTTGTATTTTAATTTCATTGATGGGCTAACACGACATCAGTCATTATCATTGCTTTGGTGTCATCAGGACTTAGATCATTGGGCTTTAGTTACTTGTGTTATCTTAGCCCAAAATCCTATCAGGACTAAAGTTATTTCTTGGTGGCATGAAGTGGAAAAGAATTTGATCAACTTCATATACCCCTTCTCCATTGCATTAAAACTCTCTGCTTTAGAAAAAATTTTAAATGATATGCATATCAGTAGATATATTGATTTTTAGAAACTATCTAGTAACAAACAGATACTTTTTGAACATTTCTTTTTTTAATTTTTCTTTTTTTTTTTTTTTTGCGGTATGCGGGCCTCTCACTGTTGTGGCCTCTCCCACTGCGGAGCACAGGCCCCGGACGCGCACGAACCCGCGTCCCCTGCATCGGCAGGCGGACTCTCAACCACTGTGCCACCAGGGAAGCCCTGAACATTTCTTTTTAATGGATCTTATTACATCTGATGACCAGAGGGAGTTAATTTAACTATTTTTAATGCTCCTACCCTTAATCCAACCCCTGGGAACCAGCTCTAATTTTTGAAGGGGAGTATCCAAGCACAATTCGGTGCCCAGTGTGATCAAACCCACTATGTTTTGAAGTTTAATATTGTATGCATTCAGAAAGAAACTCAATGGAAACTAGGCTACAGTTGGCTATTCCCAAACTCCAATGAGCTGAGGCACACACAGAAGGAAGGTACATGTGCTGAAAGGGTAAATTACATCCTGGCAAAATGAACACATTGCAGTTGTACATTACCTCTGTCAGGCTACTAAAATACTGTTTAGTACCCTGCAGCACTAATTTTCTAACTGACTTCAAAGAATGAATGCTCTTTGAAAATACCTTGTTTCTTAGGGAGAAATGTACTAACATAAAAAGATCTAGGTTTCTGAGCCAAGATTCTCTCAGAGGCTAAGTTTATACACTGTCATTGGGAGACTTGTGGGGTGCCACATGAATGAATTATTTTCAGTGTGTTTTTAGTCATGTTTGAAACAGCATAGCTATAATTTTTATAGTTGCCCAGAAATATGAATTTGCCCTTAACTTTACGTGACTACATTAACAGAGATATAAGAGATAGCCACTGTTTGTGTCTCTCAAATGATTCTCTATAATTAGGCCCTGCAAGGTTATTTACCAAGTCCCAGG